TCTTTGTGTTAGTAATGGAAGTCTTATCATGTATGTTGAATAATGCTAGTTCTCATGGACTGTTTCCTTACCAACCCTATTGTCAAAGGATCAAAATTAATCATTTATGCTTCGTAGATGATCTCATGATTTTTATGAAAGGCTCTTCACAAGCAGCTAAGAAAGTCTACTCTATCTAGAAGTCCTACACAATAACTAGTTTGAAATTAAATCCAACTAAAAGTGAGTTATTTCATGCTAATGTTTCTGCTTCTGAGTTATAAGAGATCCGAGTTAGTAACTTTCTTGTTAAGTATCTAGGAGTACCGCTCTCTTTTAAAAAGCTTAATGAGCAAGATTGTCAGCCTTTGGTCCAAAAAATAATTGCTAGAATTCATAGCTGGGCTGCAATGAGACTTTCCTATGCTGGCAGATTGTAGCTCATCAAATCTGTTATGTTTGGGCTTCAAAATTTTTGATGCAACATATTTCCACTTCCCAAGAAGGTTATCAAGAAAGTGACTCAAGTTTGTTCTGCTTTTCTCTGAAAAGGGAAAGAGGGGGATACAAGAGGAGCAAAAGTTAATTGGAAAGCCATTTGCTACTCGAAAAAAGGTGGACTGGGTCTTAAGGATCTCCTAACCTAGAATAAAGCATGTCTTTTAAAGCATATATGGTCTTATTTAAGTTGGTTCCCTTTGGGTAGCTTGGATAGATTATCACTTGAGGGGAAGAAGCTTTTGGCAAATTAATTACCCGTAGGACTATAGTTGGCATTGGAGGAAACTTTTAAAGCTATGAAATGTAGGCAGAGAGCTCATAAAGTACAAGATTGGAGATGGAAGGAATACTTCCTTCTGGTTTGACAATTGGCTCAATGATGGTCCTTTAATTATTTCTTGCGACAGAGTATTAATGTCACATGTTGCAATCCCTGCGAATGCAACTGTGGCCTTTACTCTCTTAACAAATGATTGGACCCAGAATCTCACTACTTCTCTACAGACGAAGGATTTGCAGCAGAAGTTGGCTAGCCTCACCTTTACTGAAAAAGAGGATGCTATTGTCTAGCGGGCATCAAAGTCTGGCAAATTCATACTTTTAGATACGTAGGACTGGATCAAGGATAGAAAACCCACTATGGCTTGGCATAAATTGGTTTGGAATTCCTCATCACTCCCAAGACATAGTTTTATCACTTGCTTGTAATTCTTCATAGATTGACCACACTAGCTAATATTAAGAGATGGTGTACTCAATTGCCAAAAATCACTTGCTACTTTTGTGATATAGAGATCGAGACTAGAGATCATCTTTTCTTTTCTTGTGACTTCTCAAAGTAAGTTTGGCAATTGGTGTTAGCAAAGTGCGAGATTGATCGTAGAATCCACAAACGGCAGCAGGAGCTTGACTAGGCAATTCGGCATACTAGAGGTAAAACTTTCAAGGCTATGATTTTTGATAGGAGTGTGGACAACAAGTATATACCATATATGGCGTGCAAGGAATTCTCTAAAACTTGGCATTTGTTGTCCAAACATTGAAAATACTTTGCAAGGCATAAGTTTTGATGTAAAGTTTCATCTTCTAAAATTTGTAAAAAATACGAATAATCCCTCTATTAATTCTGTATGTAAAACTTAAGGGATTGTATAGAAAGTACTAAAATTCATTCTTTAATTGCTCACTAGTAACAGGAGTCCTGTTTTTTTTTTAATTAATAGAATTCTATTTATCCAAAAAAAAAATGTTTGCCATTGTCAATTTCATCCAACTTTTTCAATGAATTTTTTTTTCTTCCTCTTTCTGTCCCCACCAAAAATTTGATACTCATCATTTATTCTATCACACAATAGATTTGATTAAATTATAAAAAAAAAAACATGTAATTAACAAACATTTATGCTTTGTATTAGATGGTTTATAGCTAATACTACATGCACCCGATCCGGATAATTCCAATTATTGGGGGCGGGGTAAGCTAAACCAGGGGGTCCTTGGCCCACAAGATTTTGAAAAATCTCTTTAAAATTCTTATATTTATATATATTATATATATTATATATATTAAATAAATTTAAATGGTTCCTCCAAATTAAAAGATTAAAATATATTAAAATATATTTATTTATTTTACTCACCAATTATTATTTACAAATACTTAAAATTAATTGGTTTGTCATAAATATTAAGTTATAATTACGTGAATTTAAAAAAAAAACTTAATTTAATTTTTAAAATTTTTATTGATCATCCCAAAATTAAATGTGAAAATCCGTCGCTGTCAATTATGTAACTATTGAATTGTTTGCTCTCTAATATTTTAAATGCAGTTTTGACTCTTCTCAACATCTTTGTTGTTGAATGTGTGTTGGATCATACAATAATGCATTGAAATAAGATTAGAAAATCAATTTGTAGTTGTCAAATTGTTACGAATATGATAATTGAAAAAGGATGATGAAGATTAAGGTGAGAACTAGGTCATTCTATTGAGACGATTTATGCCCTTTCGATGATAGAAGCTGGTGCACAGAAGTTGTATTGCATGTCGTTTCTCAGGATACAACAAGGCCAATCACTTATTCTATACCTTTTAACCTGCACAAGTTAGAAGATAGAAGCTCCACCAAAATTGACACCCTTTTATCCTATTAATTTAAAAAAAAAAAAAAAAAACCAAGGAAGATCTTTTGAAGAAGTAATAAAGGAAAAACATTTAAAAGAAAGGATTTGTTCTTTTGAAAAGTGCATGATCAGAAATTCAACTGTTTATAGGTAGGATTTCCAAAGGTAACGATTGATCCATTTAAGGTTTGTACTCAAATGGTTTTTTAAATTGGAAAACTTACAAGTTAATAACTTGATAGTTTACAATCTCCTAAGTTTGTTCCATAAACAAAATGCTTTGCACTTCCCTTTATTAAAATCTCTCAAGAATGTGCCTCCATGTGCCAACATTGTTATTACCAGGCAAATATAGTACTGCTTATCCTGTAAGTGCTCCAACTGATCTCTTTCTAAATGCTATGCTATATAAAGTAGCCATCCCCCTATCAACTCTTCTATGCCAGATAAAAAAGTAGATTAATACTGCCTGCTTCATTTCATTTCATTTGAGATTTTTCTTCATTTAGTTATTTAAACTAATAAAAAGGGTAACCATTTGTGACAACTTTCTTTAGCATGTCCACAGGAAGGAGTAGTTCTCTGCTTGATAGAGATCGTCATCAGGAAGGGTTTAGACAGCAGACAGTGTAAGAAGTTAGTGTACTATAAGTATATCCTTGGGGGCCCTGAACTGTTCCTCATAGAAGGGGTTAATCCATAGCCTAGCCACTACTCTCAGAGGGCACCCGTGGACGAATGATCTGCATACTCTTGCGATTTTGGCCTTCAGCCAAGCAATATTCATTACCTATCCCCTAAATATTCTTGGACTACAAGTTATTTCTATGCTGTCATACCGGCTTAAGCATATTCCTGTAGTGCAATCTACGTAATTATTTTACCTTCATTCTAGTTAATTCGGCACATTTACATCATGCCGGATGAGAGTTCTGATAATGAATTGTTCCTCTTTATTATATGATTGAGATTGAGTTAAATTTTCGTTGTCTTCCGAAAAAGATAATCAATTTGCATAGGAAATTTAGACCTACATTAAATATTCAGCATAACAGAGACAAATGCAAATGAGTGAATGTAAGTATATAAGATAATATTACAAAGATAAACTCCAGACAACCTTGAAGATTCACAATCACAACCACCACCATATGTGTCACCATTGTCTTGTGCGAACATATCTAGGAAGGATAACTCGGACTTTTTCTCGCCTGGAGATTGAGAATGAAAAGAGAAATCTAGAAGAGATCAAATATGGGAGAGTTAGAGTGTCGAAAGGAAAAACCAGTTTCTGGTCTCCAAAAAAAAAAAAATCAGAATGGAGGGGAAGAGGGAGAGGAGAGGGAGAGTGAGCGAGTAAAAATAAGAAATTGAGACCTAGATTTCTCGAATCTGCATGCATTGCTTTTGCAAAATTTGAAGAAATGTCATATTCATATACTTTGCATAAGAATACTTTGTTAATTTCATCAGTAATTGGTAATTATTAACTCAACTTCCATGTGACTACAGAATCAACACAATAAATTAAATGCCTGGAAAAAGGTTTGATTTGTATAGTGCATTGATTTGCCCGATCAAACCTTAAGTTTTCAAATGATGCACAATGATCATTTAGAATTTACGAGGGATATCAAATCTTAATCCATGGGAGGATCTCTGGGTCAATATCCTGATTCCAAGACCATGACAAAGTATAACAGCAATGCTTCTTTCTTTATTTTTTTCTGTTAAAGTCAGTTGGAAAGTCAAATCCTATAGAATTCATGAAACATATGACAAAGTTGTTTTGAAATCTGATTCTAGGTGGACACATAGTTGAAGCATCTACAACCGGCTTGTGTCTATCAAGCTATCTTCAAGTCTGAATCCACCTGACATAAACAGGCCTTATCAGAAGCCATTTCTCATTCTAAAAATATTCAGGTGAATGATGTGAACCATCTTAAAAAAAAAAAAAATCAATCAAATTTAAAATTAGTGATAAAAAAATTCAAATGGTTGGATTCAACTTGATTAAAGGCTCTCATTTTCGTCATTGCCAATATCATGTCAGCTATTGTTGTGAAAGAATGTATACAGAAACGAACAAATAACTGAATTAAAGATCTTAAATTAAACAAATGATCTAGAAGATACTCGTAAAACTTGAAAATAATGACAAATAGACTGGCACCTCATTAAAAATGGTAGTACATTTATTACAAAATACATAGGTTCCTCCTCAATTATTTAATTGCAAACGTTGATAACCTGTAATGTTCTTTGTAAGAACTAAGAAGTCTGCTCCATGGTTATTTGATTCATGGTTGGAATATACTGATGAAACGTCCCAGATTCTATATCTTTTGTGATAAAAAGATATATACCACAATGTGAATGTCAATGGAATCGCTCCTAAATGTTAACCCCCAATAACTGACTGAAATTCATGGGAGAAACAAGTGATTCTGATGCACCAAATAGTGTTAGGGCTGCGATCTTGGAGGCTCTCTGTGATGGATGAAACCGGTCCCAAAATAAGTAGTGGTCGCGATTTGCACAAAAGCTGGCCGTTTGATTGCATGGGTAAGTTCCATTTCCACAGCAAGCTCCTGAAATGTTCCTGAAACCTGAACAAGAAGTTGGAGAGTGAATATAATTACCAGTATGCCTCTCTCTCTCCCCCTCTCTTTTTGATGTTTATAAGGTTTTTGTTACAATTAATTTTAGAAAGAAAAAATGCTTACCAAAGGCCAACATGTCTTCCATCATAGTAGTGGTTATCCGATGTGTATTCCCCACCGAATACCTTATATCTTGGACTTCGGAGCTAAACTTTTTTAATAAAGCCGCAACCTCTACATGGAACTTTCGTGCAAACCGCTCAGCCCGCGGAAAACAGCTATTATTACTAGTGAAAACAGCTCGAGAAAATGGGGTGCACCCAACTGGTGGAACAGATAAAATGCCAAACGTTCGACCTCCAAGGTCATATAGAGTCTGACATGGTAAGTTTCAATGGATGTTAATAGTGAGTAATGTATTGTGAGCTTTATTAGCTTTCCTTTCCAAAGAATTTTAACCACAGTGTAGGCTTAAGTGAAATAAAAGGAGGCGAAATTGTGTCAAACCTTTAAATGGTTTTCATATGTGGATATCAGGGTGGCATTAAACTCCGGCATGGACATTGGTCGTGTGATGAGGTTAAGCAGATATTCAAAGATGTCATTGCTTCCAATGCTGATAAGAAAGAAAGCCTTCGAAAGTATGCTATCAGTTACTGCATCACTACCCGTCATATTTGTGATATTTGAACGAATGGTTGAAAACTGTTGGATCTGCTCCTCCAAGGATATGACCCTGTTCTGAAGATGTAATAGATAATGTAAACATTGAAGTTTATTTTTCTCATTCAGGTTATTTCCCAAAAAAAAAAAAAGAAAAAAAAATATAAACAGAAACAGGCTTACGTATTGATGCTGTCCGGTAGTGTTCAAAATTCCGGATCCACCAGAGGCAAAGTTGGCGCCTAGGAGTATATTCCGCTTGAAAGTTGGCGGATTGTTGAGAAGGTAGAGAAAAGGTGGTGGACTCCTCTCCATACCCAACAGTCTCACTAACCAAAAGATATCATCAATAATATAATCAGAATATAGACGGCAATTAACTTTGAGAATTCTAATATAAAGGAAATGAAAATGCATGTGATTCTGCTAGCAATGAAGAATCAATGGTGGACCTTTTTTTACCTATTTCATCAGCAGTGTTAAGGCCGTTGCTGAACCTCCCCGTTGGCTCTGAGTAAGGGAAATCGATACCATTGAAATAGACATCTGCCCTTGCTAGGCACTCAGGTATGAAGTCATTAGTTCCAACATCAAGAGTTGAGTCCCCGAATATGTACACAGCTGGTGCTGCTGCCTCAACCTCGAGCAGGGCAGCCAAAGTTGCTGCAATTGACAGAAAAACACATAGAAAACATGAAGTATACCTCTTTGTCTTTGCCATGAGACAGTAGCTATTCGGCCCAGGATCAAACTTCTTAATTAGTTTTTTTTTTTTTTTTGCCTCTCAGATACCCTTATAAAATCATAACTTGGCTTGAGTATTTATATATAGTGAATGTTGTATGTGAACAAACAAGAAAAGCTAAAGGTGTCGTTGTTCCAACCTGTAAAGACTATGATCATCCAGGCGTGATATCCTGTGAAAATGAATCTGCAAGATGGAGGAGAATAATTGCCAATTAAATCCTACATTTAAGAAAAATACAAAAAAGTATAAGCAAATGAATTATTTTATTACAGAAAAAAAATTGACAATTTGTCTGTTTGCCAATAATTTGATTCCTAACATTGTCTATTTAATTCTGAATCATGCATTTTCCTTACTGTGATAATAAAGAATGCCAAAATTTTCACCTAAATTTCATGAAAAAATTATTATAAATAATATTTGAGGAAAAAAAACAAAGAATTGAATAGAATAAGGAGCTGCCTTAATCTTTTGAATCAGTCGGTGGCCTAATTATAGGCATATATGAATTTCCTTCACAAGATTTTAATATGTTTCAGGCCACAGCTCAGAGGAAAGTCATGAATCTCAAATTAGTTTGATGTTGAAGTTCGATTTGAGATATAAATATTCATACCCTTTTTAAATTGTGAAGCACTTTTTATAAAATCAAACTATGAAACTCAATAATTGAAGTGGACAATTTCGTGCAAATTGATTTGAATGATCACATCCTCCTGTCATTGTATTCTATGTTCAGTTTAAGATTGCCATTTCAATTCGGAGATTTATGTTGACTTTTACACAAACAATTGGTGAAAATTAATTATTTGTAGGATTATGTCAATGGCCTTGGAAGAAAATTAATAATCGTGAAAAAACTTATGCGGCGACATGTCCGATCTCCATAGACAATCTTCCAACATTAAAGCTCTATGTTCTTGGGTGCCCTTTGTTGGTAGAAACAATGTCAGTCGTTTTCATCCTGCTCACAAATTTTTGCATCCCCTTCATGTGTCCAAAAATTTATTCTCGGAATATCCCTGCAACAATGAATCTCCTCTATCCTCAAGCTTACATTTGTTTCCTTATATTCTAGAATATTAATATTGACAAACAACTATCCTTGTAATTCTAGTAAAATCTTCATCCGCATATGTTTAAATTACATGGTAGTGTATCTCCAAAAAAAAAAAAAGTACATGGTAGTGTACAACCAGATTATCATCTATCAGAAGCAAGCTTGATATATTTCCCAGGCCTCCCCTGTCTTTGATGAAAATTCAAAGTCAATTCCTTCCAAAAAAATTAGAAGTATCCAATAATGTAAAATCTCTGAAGAATTTATTTGACAAACTTTTTTATGCCCAAATATCACCTAACAAATCAATATTTACATTTTCAAGATAAGAGAATACTAAGATTTAATTTTTATACACTAACAATGAATTTTGTCTATAAGCGAAATTAAAAGATTATCATATATTTTATTTTTTAATATATTTTAAGAGATATATATATATATATATATCTATAATTTTATTAATTTTATTTGTGAAATCTAAAAATATTGTCATAACATATAGATCTTTAAAACTATTGTTAGATTTGACTTTAAAAAATCAACAACAATATTTTTTGTTTAAGTGCGATTGACCACCTAACTAAATCTATTTCATTTTAAAGAAAAGTCACAAACTTGACTTAAGTATCTTAAAAAAATAGATTCATGTCTACGAAACTAAAACTAAATTCTAAAGTACGGTTATATGTAAGGAAGATTATAGCACTCCCATATCGCTCACCCAAAGAGTGGTACTAGCTTAATTTTATGTTATGCAATAGCCTGAAAGGCTTATCAAGCAATTTAATATAAAAAATTATCTCAAAATTACTTCAATATGTTAGTAATAATATAAGAACATCTCCTCACCTCAAGAGTATTCAAGGAGAGTACTTATCACACTTTGAAGAAGTTTGTTATCGGATTCATTTAATTTTTGTAAAAAAAACTTTTATTTGTGATAATTGCAATTTTTGTGAGAATCTTGATATTGAAAATCTTCTTTAAATTCTTCAATATATTAGTAAAATTTTTAAAAAATTATTACTTAAGAATTTATATAAAGATTGCTATTTATGACACTCTTATTGATTCCAGCACTAGAGTATTCAAGGAGAGTACTTATCACACTTTGAAGAAGTTTGTTATCGGATTCATTTAATTTTTGTAAAAAAAACTTTTATTTGTGATAATTGCAATTTTTGTGAGAATCTTGATATTGAAAATCTTCTTTAAATTTTTCAATATATTGGTAAAATTTTTAAAAAATTTATTACTTAAGAATTTATATAAAGATTGCTATTTATGACACTCTTATTGATTCTAGCACTAGAGATTCAAAATCTAATTTTTTTTTAAAAAAAAATTTATTTTAAAAAATATCTTCTAATATGTTGATAAGATTTTCTATTAGAAATTTTCTTTTAATATGTTAGTAGAATTTTACGAAAATTATTTCTTTTCTAAAAATTAATTTATATTTAAAAATCCTAAGATTTTTCAATATGTTGGTAAAATTTTACTTTGAAAACTAAATGGCCTTTGTTTTGAAAACTAAATTGCCTTTTAATATGTTGGTAAGGTTTTATTGAAAATTATTTTTTTCTCTTGAAATTTATTTTTTATAAAAAAATAATAAGGTTCTCTAATATATTAGTAAAATCTTATTTCGAATATCAAATTGCCTTCAATATATTGGTAAGGTTTTTTGTTTTATTAAAATAATTTATTAAAATTTTGAATCTTTCAATATATTAGTAAGATTTTTTTTATTTAAACATTTATTTTAAAAAAATTTGAACCCTTCAATATGTTGGTAAGATTCTTTTATCGCACTAAAAATGTTGTTTTCTTCTTTTTTGCTTTTTTTTTTTTAAATATCTACAAATAAATAAATCCATAAATAGTCAAATAAATAAAATAAACAAAGAAATAGACAATTATGATAAAATACAAAAATATGTCTACTCGAAACCTTCGAAAATTTTACTATCAAAATTTTTTGTTACATGTCTCCCTCTTGTGTGGCTTCTCAACTTTTTTTTTCAACACATAACTCTCAAAAGAAAATCCTAATTATCTAAACCCAAAACATCAAAAAAAATTATTAAAAAAAACTCTTAATTTTTCGAACTCTTTCTTTCTCGATTTTTTTTTCTTAATTCTTGATTGTTTCTAATTTATCATAATGAGGTCTTTTTATAGGCCTCTAATCCCAATTACAATAGAAAAATGAGTTTTCTTAGTTTGAATCTACTAATCAACTTCAACTTTAGATTTTTAATCTAAATCTACCTCTCAAACCAATTCTCTTTAACAGTCTTTTTTCAATTAAAATATTTTCAATTCAACAACCCGATTAGAATTAAACCTTCTTCAAGTTTTAGCAAAATAATTTTTTACTCTTTTTTTTATAATAATAATAATAGCTCTAAACTATATACAATGCCAAAAATAAATAAAAAAAATTCAAAGCCTAATCTTAAAAGATAAATTGACCCCAGACTAAATGTGGTGTCTACAATTGCCTTTCTTCATGCATTTTCTATGAAATAAGAATTGTGCAAAGATATAGATATCCATTACGTCTGGATTTGATACAAAGAAAAAATTTAGAGATTCTAATTTAAAATAAAGATTTGCAATTTGCAATTGAAATCGAAAGTTCCCAACTGAAAGTTTAAACATTCGCAATTTGAAATTCAAGAATTCTCAACTTGAAGTTTAGAAGTTTATAATTAAATTCAAAGATTCTCAATTTGAATTTAAAGGCTTGCAAAACATTTAAGGTTCTCCCAAAAGTTTAAAGATTCAGAAATAAATTCAAGATTTCACAAAAGTTCAAAGTTCACAAAAGATTCAAAATTCTAAAAAAATTCAAGATTCACAAAAGATTCAAGATTCTCCAAAATTCAAGATTCACAAAAGATTCAAAAATTCGTAAAAAATTTAAAATTTGCAAAGATTCAAAGATTCGTAAAAGATTTAATATTTGTAAAGATGCAAAGATTTGCAAAACATTTCAAAGATTCGTAAGAGATTGCAATGATTCATAAAAATTCAAAGATTCGTAAAAGTTTAAAGATTCACAAAAGATTCAAAAATTCAAAAAGTCACAAGTTATTCAAGATTCATATAGATTTAAGATTCAAAGATTCGTAAGTGATTTAAGATTCGAAAAAAATTTCAAAGATTCATAAGAGATTCAAGTTTTGCTAAAATTCAAAAATTCACAAAAGTTCAAAGATTTACATGTTCCAAGATCCACAAATATTTAAGATTCAAAGATTCATATTTAAAAAATTTTAAAGATTCGCATAAATTTAAGATTCAAATATTCGCAAGTGATTTAAGATTCACAATAAATTTAAAAGATTCACAAAACATTTCAAAAATTAATAAAAGATTTAGGATTTGCAAAAATTCAAAAACTCACAGAAGTTCAAAGATTTACAAGTTCCAAGATTTGCAAATATTTAAAATTCAAAGATTCATATTTGAAAATTTTAAAAATTCGTAAAAATTTAAAGATTTGCAAAAGTTCAAATTTCGAAAAGATTCAAAATTTGTAAGAGATTCAAATATTCACATTTGAAAAGATTTTCTTAATAGTTTTAAAATGTCATCTTAATAAAACTCCATTGACAAAGGCTTAACAACTTTGAAAAATATAGAAAGGCTTTTCTTATCAGAGGCTCAACAACTTTAAAATATATATATAAAAAAAATTAATCTCACTAGAGGCTCAACAACTTTTGAAAATATATAAAAAACTCATCTCGACAAAGGCTCAATAACTTTTAAAAATATAAAAGACTCATCTAAATAGAAGCTCAATAACTTTTGTAAATATAAAAAGCTTCTCTTAACAACGACTCAATAACTTTTGAAAAATATAAAATGCTTTTCTCAACAAAGGCTCAACAAATTT